TCCAGAAAACTTTGAAGAAAATAAAACTTTTAAGGAAATATTTCGGACTTCTCAAAAATTGTATCTTAAAAGTTTGTAAAATATACTTTTCGGGAATATTTAAATTGTGAATCTTAGTCCCGGCACCTGAAACGCAAAAAGAGCGCTCGGGAAGGCGCTGTACTTCACCTGCTGATCGCTCGCCTCGTGTTCTCGCGCACGTCGACCTCCTGCCCGGGAACGACGCGCTCCACGAAGCCCCGCGCCTCCTCCGCGAAGTGCTCGACGGAGCTCTTCAGGATCTCGACGTGGAAGGCGGGCTCGAGGGCGCGTCGGTGCCGGCGCCACAGCTCGCCGTTGATCAAGATGACGTTGTACGGCGCGATGGCCCGGAGCAGATCGTAGAAGACGCGGGGCTTGTCGGCCAGGTCCCTGCGCTTGACGACGGCCTCGAGGTCGACGGGGTCCGTCACGAACACGTGCAGGTGGTTGAGGACGGAGACGCGGCTCAGGGTGCGCCGGCCGCCCCACAGCGCCATGAGCGCGGGGAACACGCCCTCGTGGGACAGGCCGAGGAGGTCGAGGGCGTTGCCGAGGACGGGCAGGGACGCTGGCCCGGGGATGTCCTGCTCGAGCCTGCGGAACTTGTAGAGGGCGCGCGAGGCCCGCGCCACCAGCACGGCCGCGGCCACCAGGGCCCCGTAGAGCAGCGCGGCGGTGATCGGAATCATGGCGCGGGGCTCTCCTGACGACCACTGCCGGCCGACTGAGACAAGACTGCTGGCGTGCCTGCAGCCCGATGACTCCCTCTGGACTTGAAACCCTTCAAGTCCGGAGTTAGAAATTGATGTCAAAACGATATCGAGATGATCTCGGAAGAATCTGCTGTTCCCGGTTCTGCTCGCAGAAGGATGGGAAGCACTGTAAAAAAAAAGGACGGCATTCTGTAATTTGGCTATTTAAACGCGACTATAGGAACGGTGGGTAACCGAATTCTGTTCGCCATGGCGTGCGGAATTCGGATCGCTTGTGACGAACAAAATTCTGACTGCCAGTGGCATGCTAACGGAACGTAGCCTGCCACGCCACAGCCAAATGCAGAACTCTGCCACGTGGCTTCGGTAGGAGGTTTTGCTGTGCCACATCATGGGATATTGTTAAAATTTGGCCTAGTGAGAAATGGAAACGTGGATTTGTACCGGGTGTTGCATAAAAGACACAGGTGCGGGCGGGTTTGCCTACCCAAGGGGCTATGGCGCCTTACGGGCAGAGCGGGTAGGCAAGCCCGCCCGCACCTGTGTCTTTTATGCAACACCCGGTACGAGATTGATACTATTTCCACAGCACCGTGTTTGGAAAAGACTACACGTTGATCGCAATAGAATACCGCAGGGTTTTATTTACCTTCGGTTATGGCACAAACCAATATCTACTGTAAGGTTGATGCGAGCGTGAGCGTGGACTTGGAGCGTGGAGTCCGACTGGAAGTGTGGGGTCCAGGTGATGTCGCAGGGAAGTGATTGGCAGAATGATGAGCAGCCGGGGAACGGTGACGGAGAGGTGATTCGAGGCGAGCGTCCTGGTCGGCTGGAGTCGAGTATGTGAGTGGCTGGTTGTGAGTGAGTGAGACAATGAGGCAATGAGTGTGTCGTCTTATGTGATGTGTGTGTGTGTGTGTGTAGGTGTGCGTGTGTCTGTGTGAGTGTCTGTGTGCACGCGCGCTCTAGTCTGGTGTAATTTTATTGTAGTTTTACAACTTGCGTCAAGGAAAATTTTCCTGTAAACCTTACTACTATTTTTCACAGTGTCCCCGTTTTCCAAATTTCAGCTGATTCGGAGACGTCGTGGGAGTGTCGTCAAATCCGCGTGCTCGGGAGGTCCCTGATGACGCCCCCGGGTGCCCGGATGACCTCGGCACTGCCAGATTTGAACTAGACGTGCCAGCAAACCCCGCAAACCCCCCTGTTACGAAATTTTAGTTGTTCTGAGGTTGTCGGTTGGTTGGTCGGTCAGTCGGTCGGTCGGGTAGCCCACCTCTTATTTTGACGCAACCAACCATGACGGCAAAATGCACACGACGAGAGGGAACAGTGCTCGGAAGAACGAAGCACGCGTCCATTTCGGACCGGCGAACAACGAAAGCCGACGACACGGTGGACTACGCGGAAGGTCCGAATGGACGCAGACGGCATCGTGGCGAAGCCTAAGGCACCAGAACCGCTGAACAGTGCGGCCGATCCGGGGAAAAGCAGACATAATTCGAATTTTCCTGCCACCACTGTGATAGTTGTTGCGGGTGGCCTACGGCTGGGAGACTTTATCCAATAAGGTTAACACACCCAATATTACCAATACGTATTTTAATGCTGGACGGGGGGTTGTGTGGTCTAGGCGCCGCTGGTCAGGGAATTGAGTGGCGTCTCCTCCGGCGGGTGGCCTGTATGTAAGCTTGTCCCACTCGCCCCGCCGGACCCCACTGCTAAAAAAATTGCTGTGAATTTACAGCGAAAATGTGATTAATTTTGTTAGCAGCACTTACTGTATTTTTACAGGCCTTACTGTAAAAAAGCAGCGTTAATGAAAATCTCGGAAACAAAGTTTCCGACCGAAATAAGTTGCTTTGTTTTGCTCTTGTAAAAAAAAATTGTAATAATACGACTGTCCTGTTTCGGAACGCAATGCGCTGCTAACAAAATTAGCTTATCTTTTCTTGTAAATGTTCAGCAAAGTAATACGTAGTAGTTTTGGTTGTTTCGAGAGTGTTCAAATGAAAACAACATTTCTGTTACATAACAGGAGTGCCAATCCGCAGTATGTCGTCAGGTGACAGTTATTTTTAACAGTGCGGAGGCCAGGCGGCGCTGCGCTATGTGCAAACCGATGCAACAAAAATGTTGTACACTTAATGCGCTGGTACTGGCGCCTTTAGTCATGCGTGAATGTCGTTCAATGTCACGGGCACGACGAGTAGCTGGAAGCTTAACGCAACATCACACACCTGACCTGGTCAGGGAGTCAGTAGGTTTATGTCAGTAGTGAATATCAGCCTTGTGACAATTGGGCACTTATAAGAAGGGTGATATCAGTGGGAACTTATAATATTAGTAAACGGATATTTACCTCTGATATCAGAAGCCAAAGTATGTCGAGGTGAAAAACTAGTTCTCAATATTGAGAATATATTCGCAAAATTCGCAATATTGCTACTTTCTAGTCCAGGGGTCTCAAACTCGAGCTATCCGACAAGCATTGCATGCATAGGCCACACGCATTACAAGCTCTTCGGGAAAAGGAGTGAGAGAGATAGATGTACTGGTGCCTCAGCGGCTGACCCATGCAAGGCCGCACTGCTGTCGCCGCTGGCTAGCTTTGCTCAGCGCTCGGTCGCCGGCCAGTGTGTCTGTCTTTGTCACGCCCAGTGGCACCTCAATGAGTGAGACAAAGACAGACACACACACTGGGGCAGCGAGCGGGTAGGCAGTCCCGCACGACACCCGTGTGTGCAAGAGCAGCGGTCGCCTACCTACAAGGCGGTAGCACCTGGCGGGTAGGCAGTCCCGCACGACACCCGTGAGCTCCAGGTCAGCGGTCGCCTACACACACGGCGGAAGCGCTCCGAAAAAGAAACTCATCTCCCCCTGTGGGATTGGGGTGGCATTCACTATAATGGTGATTTTCAGCAAACGGCCCATTTGAGAGTTTCGAATTTTTTTATTTTTGACAAATATGTTGGGTTTTTGGGTCGCAATGTTTTTTAACTCTAAATAAGATAAGTGGAAAGTTGTGATATTTGAAATCGCGTACTTCTAGTACAACCTTAAAAGACCAATATGTTGTCAAGTTCAATCAATGATGAAACTCAAATTTTTCGTCTCGTAGTTTTTAATTGGTCTTGTGTTAGGTCCAGTTGTGTGTTGTACTCATATATTACATCCTTTCACCCCCATGTTATGCTTTTTAGTGTGACTAGAACATAGGAGCCGATGCCCCACCCCTTTCAACACCCGGGTCACAGCAGAGAGAGCGATAACGTAGGTGTCAGTTTTGTATTTCAGGGGTGTGTCTGCAGCTATTGTCTCCTTATCTGGTTGGACCTGCTGCTGGGCACTCCGCCCGCACCCCCCGGTTACTTTTCTCTCTCACACTCACGCGAAATCCCGTACAAAAATCAACAACAGTAACTCTGTCTCACTCACACTTATGCATCAATCCGACCGCTGCTGAGGACGGTAGGTCAGGATATTTCGAAAGAAGACATCGCATTATATTTGAAAAGCGAGCTGTTTTTGCCGTGTGTCCGAAATAGATGGTACTGCACATGAACTGTCGGATTTGATTGATAACAATTATACACTACCAGTTTCAGAGAGGCAGATTTTCTTTTTCTGAACAGTAGGCGATCGTTAGCAAGAAGAGCGCTAATTTAGTTTTCAGAACGCCGGCTGTAACGGCTACATTGTCGTCTATTATGACAGTGAGTGCGTTTCACAAAGTATCTTTTTAAAAATATCTTTTAGAAACGATCGCGAATAAATATTGGACGAATAACGTCGGGTCAAAGAACAAAACACTTTGTACACTTTTTCCCCATTCAGAAAGCCGCAATAACGTGGTGCATGCCCATCGCAGATAACTCACTTCTGCATTTACATCTCTCTCTCTCTCTCTCTCTCTCTCTCTCTCTCTCTCTCTCTCTCTCTCTCTCTCTCTCTCTCTCTCTCTCTCTCTCTCTCTCTCTCTCTCTCCCCCCTCTCTATCTCCAGGGACACCTCGACGCCATCCCCCAACAGATCACGCGGAGGGCAAACTTGGCATGTCACCCTCCCTTCCACCTACCTCCCCAGGCACGGACAAAAGGGAACGCCAGCTCGGTCTGTTTTTCCATCCATGTAAACGAAGTTTGCGTTCGGGCAGGCCATGGCGTCGCTGGCGCTGGCGCAAAATCGTATGCATTGTGTCGCACGGCGCTGGAGCTCCGTGCACCAACCGAGGTGTTGTGAAAAAAATTCCCTTTTCCTTTCATTTTAAAAGGTAAGGTAAATGTGTGAAAATAACATAACAACCATTCCAGTACGGCTGCAACAAGATTTACTCTCGCTCTTTCAAGACTGATTCACGGTGTAATTTCACCACTAAAATTTCAATTTATGAATGTGATCAAACTCAACAAACGAGTCAACAAAGTTCGCAGCTCGAGGCGAGGGCGGCCATCAGGTTAGCCCGTCAAGGAGGAAGGAAAGGGAAGAAGTGAGGGGGGTGGTGGTGAAGCTCCCCACCCCAGTTCCCCCACCCTGCCCGCCGTGTGTTCGCGGATCAGGTGAAGAACACTCACAGCGCAGTAAGTGCATGCGCTTAACTTGCACCCTTCATCTCGTGAGACGCCCACGGGGCGTCGCATATGAGAAAGTTGTCGGTGGCGTTGAGAGCTGCGGCAGCCTCTTACTCATGTGCAGGGCAGGGGTGCAGCCCCCCCCCCCCCCCCTTTTAGACTGAGTAATTTCATCTCAAGTGCAAAACAACGTTTATTGAGATCACTTCGTCTACTGAAACAGCCGAAAGATAATGTGAAGAAAATTATTTTTCAGACTCGACTCTCTTTCTTTGATATGTCGGCGCTCGTAGTTTTTGCGAGCTCGAAGAGGTAGATACAGTGTTTTGTGAAATTTTGTAAGAGAAACCACCAAACCACAACACAATATTTGACCTGTCTCAGTTGCCGCACAGCTGAAGCAGCGCTGCCACACGTCGGTCGGCCGGTGGAGCGCGCCGGCCGCACCCGGGCGGCAGCCACCGACACAAAGGAGATGAGGCGATTACACTGCCTTTGTTGACAAAAATAGTCCAAATCCATATCAAACGTACGGCATTATAGTAGTAGAAGCTGTAGTATTGTGGCGGAGTATGGCGAGTACACACACACACACACACACAGTGATTTCCTCATTCAGGCACCCACCCAAGACCATACGATGATTGTGAAACCTCGTACACACTTCTTACTCACACTGCCAACAAACCTACTGCTTCCAATTAACGTACTTTTTTCCGAGGATTTTTTTTATTTATTTTCTCTCCAACTTTTCGTTTTCCTTTGCACACACGCACACACATACGCACGGCGTGCGATCGAGGCTATCTCCAACGCCACTTGTTGCTCCATCGGTGACGGTCTTCAGGGCCACAAAAGGCGCCCGGTCCGCTCGGAGATCCTCCTCGCGCTGGTCACACCACCGCCTCCTCCCTCGTACACCTCAAACAATCTGTTCTTAAAAAAATAT